AAGTAGATCGCCGAACCTGGCCTCCCGGTCCCAGAAGAAAGCAAGGAAGCTGAGCCCTATCAGGGTGGTTTACGGTTTAGGCTTCCAGGCTCGGGGTTTAGGCCTGGGGCTTTAGGCGTTTATAAACCCTAAACCCTACGGCGCTAGGGCCCAGAGACTCCAATATCCCTTACCTAAGGAATATACCTTAAATTATAGTAGGATCCCTAATAAGATTTAAGGTATATTCCTTAATTAAGGGGTATTGGAGTCTCTGGGGGTTTGGCGTCTACGGCAGAGTCTACGGCCTGGTAACCCTCAATGCGAAGTCCTAGGCCCTATGAACCTATGCCTCAAGGCCGCCTCAAGGATCCAGCGTGGAACAAGAGCATTCCCTAGGGGTTTAGGGTTTAGGGGTTTAGGGTTTAGGGTATATACAGCGCAAACCCTAGCATAAATGATTTTAGGGTTTAGGGTTTAGCCTCAAGCAGCCCCACGCCCAGAAGCTAGAAAAGGCTCCGGAGAACTGCACCGCAAATCGGAACCCCCGCCTGTTAGTCCCTGAACCGCGTCCTGCTTAAACCGGACGCACATGACCCAGATCCAAATAAATGATGCATCTTAAATCCCAGACCACTAACCCCAAACTTGAGCCCACTATCAGCCTCAGCTGGACTTAGTAATAGTATCCTCTCATAGTTCGTGTGCAGCTACATTGCAATATATCCCCAAACCCCTTTCTCCCTTGTAAGCTCAAGCTTACAAAAGCATGTGCGAACCCTCCTATAAGAAGCCTTGTAAACGGCTATAGCAATAAACCCTAAACCCTTATAAACAGCGATAGCAAGCCCATAGCGACAGACCTGGTATGCCTATATAATCCTTATATACCCCTTATATAGTCTCATAAAGCCCCTATATAACCCCAAGGGTCCCTTTAAGGGTCCCTCCTTGAGTCCCTTGAGAAAGTTACCCTAAACCCTACCTTAAGAAACCAAAACCTACTTTTTTGGAGGGTCCCTATAAATCCCATATCAGGGTTTATAATAAGAACCTACAAAAAGTGGGTTTTGGGTTCTTAAGGTAAGCCCTAAACCCTAAACCTTTATTAGTTCCTTGAGAAAGGAAGCGGAGGAGCTGCTGCGTGAAGCAATTCGGCAGAAGTCCGAATTCGTCGGAGCCTCGGAACTGTCTCAGAAGAGGCCCAAGGACCTAAGAAACAATGCAGTCCTCAAAGGAGGTTAAAGGGTTTAGGGTTTAGGGTTTAGGGTTTAGGGTTTAGGGCTTTGGGCTTAGGGCTTAGGGCTTAGAGGGCTAAGGGAATCAGGTTGAGGGCTTTTGGGTTTGGGGCTTAGGGCACCGGGTTTATGGGTTTGGGGTTTGGGCCTGTGTGGGGGCCAAAAGGCCGCCTAGGCATCCAAGTTAAGGGTTTAGGGTTTGCAGTTTATGGGGATCGTGCTTTGCATCTAGGGCTTACCTGTGTCCCCGAAGCATACAAGATAGTAGGTGTTGACCCCTCAATTAAAGGGTCCAGTTTAACGGTAGGTCTTTGGATCCCCAGGTAGTCAGGTAGGAATTACGTTGTTTGCAATCATGGCTTCCAGGGTCTGAAAAGATCAAACGTGAGGTGCAGGCACACTAGGGTTTCTCGCTGTAGGGTTCACTTAGGACTTTAAAAGGACTGGTGTCGTGATGTGTAGGGTTTAGGGTGGGCATGCAGACATGTTTGTTGCTGTTGTCTTTATGGCATGTTGCTTTCAACTTTCCTGCAGGGATTTGATGTTGTTGGTTTCATCTGTTGCAGGTTGAAGCCTAAGCCCGTAGCACTTCGCCGTCAACCCTTGACCCTGAATCTCAAGGCGTTTATAAGAGCCTAGATGAAAACCAATACTATCTGGAGGAGCTCCTTATTATAATTTTGTTTTTTGTGCTACAAAACTCTATTCTAGTTATTGAGGCCCCTACATTAGCCACCCTGGTCGCCTGAACTGAACACGCGAACCCCTGAAACTTCAATCTCTATTTGGGTAGTTCTCTAAATTAGAGTCCCTTTCAGGGTCCTTATTATAAGGGGTGCCGTACTATGTCGGGACCTAGAAAGGGACCCTAATTTAGAGAACTACCAATTTTGCTTCGGGGATGCTGGTGAAAGAGGATCCTTGCAGTTAAGGGTTTAGGGTTTAGGGTTTAGGGTTTAGGGTTTAGGGCAGGTCTTCACGACTACGAACTTTGGGTTTGAGGTCTAGGTTCGAAGAAGAAAGCCGTGACCTCAAACCTAAAACCCTACCTTAAGAACCCAAAACCTACTTTTTTTTGCAGGGTCCCTATAAATCCCATATTAGGGCTGATAATAAGAGCCCACAAAAAAGTGGGTTTTGGGTTCTTAAGGTAGGCCCTAAACCCTAAACCCTAAACCTTGCAGTCGGAAAAAGGAGTTCAAACAAAAAAACCTAAACCCTAAACCCTAGACCCTAAACCCCAGCACCGCCAGACTCCTTAACTCCAAGGAGAACGGAACGATGAACCCCCGCCATTTGCGGGACCTCGGGTCCGCGATATTCATGCAAGGCCGGGCGGTGCAGGGCTTCAGGGTTTGGGGTTTGGGGTTTGGGGTTTAGGGTTTAGGGTTTAGGGTTTAGGGTGTGGGGATTAAGGGTTTAGGGTTTAGGGTTGGTTTTCTGCACGTTCAGAAGGCTTTAGTTAGGTTTGAGGCGTTTTGTTTTTGGATGGGGTTGGGGGCCATCAGGGGGTTGAAGTGTAGGGTTTGGGGCTTAAGGTTTAGGGCTTTGGGTTTTGGGGTAGGTCTAAGGGTTCCTTTGGGGTTCAAGCTTCAGCTTCAGGTTAGAGCAATCACGGGGTCGGAATAATTGGTATCTTAGGGTTGAGGGTTTAGGGTTTAGGTTATATATCCCTAGATAGTCATACTCTGAGACACCCCAAACACGAGTCTAACTCAGGTTATTGAACTTGGCCCATGCCCTGTGCGGAGTTGAGTTCAGGCCCCTGGAACCCAGAAGGTCCAAAAAGACTACAATGATGGAATTAGGTCCCCAAACCCATGCTAACGAGGGTTTAGGGTTTAGGGTTTAGGGTTTAGGGTTTAGGGTTTAGGGTCTTCTGGAACCTATATAATTCCATAATTGTAGTATCTATGGACGCTCTGGGGAAATAACTGTCTGGTGCTTAGTAGGGAAGGGGGGAATGGATCCCTATGATAGCCCCTTATGCTCCCTTATAGTAGTCCCTATAACCCATTCCCCCATTCCCTTCTAAGCACCAGACAGACAACTACATAAACCCTAAACCCCAAACCCTAAACCCTAAACCCTAAACCCTCAAACCCTAAACCCTAGACAACTTGGGTTTAGGGTATAGACGAGCCTGGACAAGCCTACAGCGCGCGACAGCGAACTCAGAGGCTCCCCAAAGCACCTTCCTTAGGGTTTAGGGTTTAGGGTTTAGGGTTTAGGGTTTTAGAAAGACCCCACTAGGATCCCTTTGGGATCTACCTGCACCCCAAAGAACCTCCTTTTTTAGGGTTCCCTTATTATGTTTTTCTTTCTATAAGTCCTTAAAAAGGTAGGTTATTTGGGGTTAAGGTGGGGTATATATTCCTTATATAAGCATTTTGGGAGTCCCTGGTAAGGCCGCGAGGACGAGGCGCGCGAAACCTGGCGCGGGCTACTGCAGCGCCTCGCTGCCGCGCCCAGTCTCACACAGTAGTTAGTACAGGGGCCTTAAGAGTAATACCAATAGGGTTTTGCGGCCCATTATACTATATTTATAACGAGGAACCCTCAAACGTATTGACAATGATTTAGGCCCCTACATTAGGGCTTCGCGTGCTTCAGGGCTTTGGGAGTTTGCTTCTGCAGTTTCAGGGGTCTTGTTTCATTAGCCCTAAACCCTAGACCCTAAA